CCTCTAAACGCACTTTATTAGGGTCCGTCGCGAGTTTCAGCCCACCAAGGTGCAATAGTGGGCCTGCACCCAGAGTAAGAGCACTCTTGATCACCCTGAACCCGGCGTCAGGTAATGTAATCTGATAAATTCATATCAGATAGATTAACCACCACATTGTTTGTATCCAGAAAGTTATGAATGGACGGATTTTCAAGTTGATGATGTTAAGAAATAATTTTTAGTTGAAGTAACCTGTCGAACGTTTTGATTTTACTTCTTTTTGAAGATTGAAGATAAAATTCTTCTTTGAAATTAAACATGTTGTTGAAGAGAGTATTCGCAAGCGATCCAGCTTGGAAATAAGAATAGGAGAAAATTTTCGCTATTCATTGACTTCATTTCACTGTATCATCATTACTTGTTGTACTGTCATGCTCTCTCAGTGGAACTCTGTGCTTCAGTACTGAGTGGTGTTTTATTTAACACAGGAAGGATTCGCTAAGCTGATGCACAGTCATTCATACCTACCGAGCTTACTACCGCCTATGCGGGATTTAGGAGTATGTTGATCTGGGATTGAACACTAGACCACTTGCACCGTTGTATAACTTCTAATCGAGTCACGATAGTGTGAAATTTATAGGAGTTGCATGACTACATAAACCGACATACATTTTTATCTTATTATAACACACTACTCGTCACGTGATACTAGTAGTTCAGAGACAGTCGCATAAAATAGTCCTTAGGATTAGCAGAGGCTTACTTTCAACCCCAGGAACACATTGACTACATTTACCGCAAGATCTTGACCACAAAAATGACAAGATCCAATTTTGTGGAGCATTCCTATATCATGAATGGAAAACATTAAACCTGAACGGAAACCATTCCCTTCAATATATTTTCATCACGCAGCCACTCACGATTATAAATCACAATGTTTCATTTTCGTGGATTGAATGGAATTACAAGATATTGTGAAGTGCGAGACTGTGATGATAGTGATTGTTCATACAAAACTAATTCATACAATGTGGGGGATGAAAATGATGCAGCATTTCGAAATAATGAAATGTGTCAGGCAGATAGATGGCTAGTACAACATAGTATGCATTGAGGTGATCATAGTTGGGCTGCATCGACAGGTTCACCATGAAATAAGCAATATATGGAGAGAGAGATAGAGAGAGATGAGTAGAGGCATATCTCGATACAAGAGAGAGTATCCCGATTAATATTATTATTATTAATAGAAAAAAGTTCGAATAGTAAAAATAGAATATTCGTTAGTTTTCGAGATTGTGTGAATGAAGGATCTAAATTATAGCGAGTAATGATAAACACACAACTCGCCTACCTCACACTCATAGTGCTGAAGCTGTTACAGTGAGATAGAATAAACCGAAATTTTGCATTCAAGAAGAGCACTTTGACGTGTTGTTTCTTCCATGACCGAAATTGCATTACAGTATCCTGTTCTCGACAGGAGAGGCCGTTCCCCCTATCCCTCCTAGCGTATTCAATTTTACAACGTTACGTGCATAAAAATTCCTATTAACTGATGTGATCAATATTTGTCTGGAGGCCAAGCTCCTGTGATCACCCGTGGTGGTTGAGACTACTGAAGCAGCATCTCAACGTGCTCTCCTTCAATACAAAGATCCGTCTTATTCTAACCAACTGCATTAGCTTCAGTATTATGAGGAAGACGTAGGTGAAATGTGTGTTTATGTTTGTTTTGATGAGTTTGGGACATCACAAATAAATCTGAAGGCTGTGTTGACATCGATGCTATTTCGAGTATCTATCGAGTGTGAAGGAATTGAACTTTTCATGTATTTGATTTCCTGATTGCTGAAGCACGCTGAGAGATGAATCTTTGCATTATTGCACCTTATATAAATGCACACTATGTGAGTGTAACCACAGAAGCAGTTGAAATGGTATGTTTATCAATTGGAGCTTGGGTTAAGTGAAATGTCTTGCTGTTTCCAGGTTAACACTTGAAGGCTTCTGATGGATAGGAAGTCATTTTTTTGGAGTATAAGGTTTTTTTTTCATGGCTCTGGAGCTCCTCTTCTGAACACCATTCAGACCTCTCTCTGAGGATAATCTCATGATCAGATAAGGTTTGTATTCTCTAGGTGTGAGGCTATCTAAGTGTGTGACTGTTTAAATTCGCTAATCCTGTCTTTCCGTTTGGTGAAGGTTGAGGAAGCGGAAAGAGTTGTTTTATTCTCCTACGTAGGTTGAATGGACAGTTGGGACTGTGTGCATCACAAACAGTTCACCTTGTCGACCGACAAATAATCTCTTATTCTATGCATCATCGCTTAACCAAACATTATATTAATGATAAAAATATTCTACTGCATTATTGTCAGAGGCTTTAGAGAAGTTATTGAAGAGAATTTCTTCGTTCAGACTGACTTCCGAGGTGTTCTGGCTTTCCAACCACAGCGAATGCTGTTGCTTCCATCGTCGTCTGAGTGAATCGGCGGCCTGTCCAATTCAATTCAGTGCAAGGAGTTACACTAGTTATCATTACTCATTTATTCAATATTTACAGTAGACTTTTCAGAATTTGTCTTTAGATGCAGCTCTTCATTCTTTCTCATGAGTACAAGAGGTGAATTAAAAAATATTCAGAGTTTGAGTAAATTTTGCAAATCCATTCTGTGCCTAATAACGTTTTCTCCTTTTCAAAAAATTCATACATTTGGTTCCCTTGATAAATTTCGATAAAGAAAGAAGACGAAATTTGCAGTATAAAATGATATCATTCTATTTCACAGGTTCTCATTAGCTGCAGACTACCTGAAATTACAATGGTTATATAGATGATTATAACATACTTTAATGTTCGAGTGGTGGTAGAAAAGAGATACTATAAAATTGACGCATCTAAATGAAAGCATTACAATGTTTTTAGTTTAAGTTTTCATCATCAATTTATACGCTTTTAAAGTTGAAAAGAGGGGGAGGGGTAAGGGAGAAAACAGAAATCAAAAGACTTAAACCAGACTTATGCATACAGAAAGAGAGTGTGATTAACCTCTCACTCCCTTGGTAACAGAATTTTGATTTTGATTAGTCATCTAATTCAGTGATCTCAACTCACTGAACAAATCTTAATCTCATAAACTGTAACCGTTTTTGTTTTTTGTTTTTTTTTGTTTCTTGAGTTGCTATTTGAACCTAAAAGCTAACACTGTTCTGTTAATCAATTTTTTCTGTTTTCTCTCTTAACCCTCCCCCTCTTTTCAACTTTAAAAGCGTATAAATTGATGATGAAAACTTAAACTAAAAACATTGTAATGCTTTCATTTAGATGCGTCAATTTTATAGTATCTCTTTTCTACCACCACTCGAACATTAAAGTATGTTATAATCATCTATATAACCATTGTAATTTCAGGTAGTCTGCAGCTGATGAGAACCTGTGAAATACAATGATATCATTTTATACTGCGAATTTCGTCTTCCTTTCTTTATCGAAACGTTTTCTCCCTTGTTTGTGTTTTGCCTTTTCCATCACAGTTGAGAAAACTCAAATTTTCCTGGATAGTGGAATTCATTGTCAGTCGACAAATGGCTGAATTTTTATAGGAAAATAAAATAAATGATGCCATAACCGATAGCCTGACTAGCAATTCTGTGTCAGGCTGATAGCAACATCCTGTTGATGAATGATGTATTTTGTGAGATGATTCCTATAGAGCTGGTCTGTTGAATCTTGACATCATTCGGACCGATTGATTGTAATTCGTGTGGTGTACTCTGGCACTCGTAATCTGCTGTCCCTCTAAAATTCGAACTGTCAATCACTTCACGATCGATTTTCACACAGGCATGAATTCGTTTGTGTCGTTGACGAACGGCGTTTGGTGATGCTTATTTTAGGCACACATATATTGAATAATCTCAGACATAAAAGGAAACGTTTACAAGCCCATTATTAATGGAGAATGAGTAGGGTGGACGAGACAGGCTAATTTATACTCGGCGCCATTTAGCCAGAGAATGAAATGCTGAAACTATCAGTGAGGAGGAGATCCTCACTATCTGTTGACACACGTTAGGTGGAAATTGTGACTGAGAGAATGATAAAATTCATCACATGGCTGACTGTTGCAGGACAGGATGATTCACACAACAGACAGTGTGACTCCGGAGTGCTTGAAGTCATGAAGTGGTAAGTAAATCCTTAGTTTCACATGTTCTCAGACATGTATTATGCCCTAACCGACGGTGCGATTGGTGAATCAATGCCACTTTGATAATGACAACCTGTTGATGAATGATGCATTTTGTGAGATGACTTCTGTAAAGGTGGTCTGTTGAATCTCGATACCATTCAGGCTGATCACTTGTTATGCATGCGAAATAGTTTTGAGAAGGTCAACTGATGTTCTGTGTGAGTGACGTGCTCATGCACTGATCTATTCAAGTTGTCATTTCTCCCTGAATATCGTGTATCCGTGTGTCTCAGATCATTCTGCGTTTCCCACGAAAAATCTACTTCTCAAACAGCTACTCGTGCAGCAATGAACACACACGGATAAGAAGAAATACAAATAACTGTCGACTGATTTGTGAGTGATTCAGTGGACACGTGCTTCTATGAATTGAAACAAACTAAGGTAGTTTGATAAAGTCGGGTGAGTGTCGATTAGTGTCCAAATTCAGTCGATTGGCTCATTTTCAGGAGACTGAATCGCCACCAATCAGAGAGTGTGTGAGTGAGTGATTGACTGACTGAAGAAGAGTATTTGGCATTGAACGCATTGATGTTCCTCTCACATTCCATTGGTTACAACACAACACTTGACATAAAACACTGACGATTCGTGCACACTGACACTAAGCCTGGTCAGCTCTGCGACAGACAGACAATCAGTGTTGACAGTCACAGACACAGACACGAACTGTGATGACACAGATTACGGGTGTATAAAAGGAGATGGTCGGCTTCATGTCGAACTCGTGCTTCACTCTGCTTCATACAGTGCTTCATACAATGTCTTTCTGGTCATTACTACTGTGTTTCGTTCTTCTGTCGACAAGTGGAATTCAAGGTAAGTCGACGGTATATATTATCATTCGATTGACAATCTGGTGTCGAGTCACATGTATATTCAGTATCTTTTCTGCATATGTGTGTGTTGAACAGTTAGTTGTACTTGCATTTCATGTTGTGTGACTGTTGAAATGGATTCGTGTTAGGGTAGTTGTTTCTGTGACAGTTATTTGTTGGCATAATATTCTGCGAATTCACAAAATTACTCTGAGTGAATTGACACATATCTGACGCACACTTATATATACACACACAGATTTCCGTGTTTTTTGATAGATATTTGAGATGATGAATAATACAAAGACGAGTGTGTTCTACTCTGTGGTTCACATGACACAAACTCATCAAATGTGTGGTTCTTCTAGATGCTCACTGTTCACGAGTGATACGGCGGAGACAAATGAATGTTGATTTGGTGATGTGAGAACGTGAAGCTTCATCTATAGCCACTGGTGAATTCGAAGTGCATTCAATTTCCACCAATTGATTTTCTACCACGACATGTTTGTTGTTCGTTGTGAAGTTAGAAATCTGCTGTCATGTGTTCTTCTCCTCTGATTTGATAATAGTCAGTGTTTTCTTCGAATTGTTTCAGTTGACGCAGACATGCCGGTAAGTCAGTTGTTCATGTTGATGTTGTGTGAGTGTATGTGTGTGTAGTGTCACAGGTGATGTCAGACACGTATTCAGTGGTTAATTGAATGAGCCATGTAGCGTGTTGTTGTTCGTTGCACCGTCACATACACTTGGCTGTCTACCGATCCTTAGGTTTGGTTGTGTGCGTGAGTGAGTCTGACTGTGTGTTCTTTACTCATACATCTGAGAGAATGCAGAATATGCACTTTGGAATATTTCCTCCTTCTCGGTTAACGTCAGCATAATTCATAGCTGCAATACAATGATGACGATCAGATTTCTGTCGATGTTACTTTTCATTGGGGAAAGATGACGGTGACGGAATTCGATATATTCAGCAGAGATTCACCTCTATATAACACCAGTTGCCTGACTGTCTTAAGCGCTATGCAATCGAACCTGACATAGATGTCGATTCGGCTTGATGCTACATCAATTCACAAACATCACATCGTGTCTCAAATAGTCAGTCTCGTCAATCACATGAGCACATCTCAAATATTTCGACTTCAAATGCTAGAATTTCGAGATGGATATAATGATAATATCGATGCGTTGTGAATACACTGGATGTGATCAGACGTTGTAAATTCTGTCGGATGACGCTTAATAATGAACGTGTGTCATTCTTAAATCACCAATCTCTGCCTCTATTTCTCAAAATCAGTCTCTCCACCATCACTTGTAACAATACAATCTATGGGTGTGTAAAACCTCTTTATCTAACTATACTGCAGTACTAGCCAAACGTCCCACTCACCTGACATTCAAACATCTCTCGAAAACAGAATAAGTGATGAAATCATAATTGAATAAGCCGTATCGAACTAGTATGTCAGTGATCCAAATTGATTTTTCGACAACGAATGGACACACATACATGCGCATTCGTGGTCACCTACCATTGCATTCTGACATGTAGACTATGAATAGAGGCAAGTGAGTCCAGGAGACAAGTTGACTCACAAACTCAAACATCATCGTTGTTAATTTTGTGTTTTCTGCTCCCCTCTCTCTAGGCACCACAGTGGCAACCAAGATATAGATTATTCACGTATACTCAGGGGTATTCGACTGTGCAATGTTCATGCGTAAGTAACAAACAGACATTTCTTCTGCTTCACTTAACTGTCTAGTTATTTTGCATCACCTGAATGTTTGTCGAATGCGTGTTGTTTCGAGCATTGAATGTTTCAACGTCCAACTGAACAAGTTAACCACAATGAAGAGAGTCGAAACGGAGGTATCATATACACTGATATCTTGATTGTCCGGAAACTGACGTGTATTGTATTCGCATGGATGGATGTTAATTCAGTGGATGGAGAATCAGACGAAATTCATTCATGCGAAATCGGAGAATTCAATGTCACATATCTCATTAATGGACTCTGTGAGTCGAACATTCACCTATGATACTTTTCCCTTGTACAGAGAGAATTCTGCATGATTAGATTTCCCAGAATTACCAGCGAACTTGATGCGAATGATGTTGAACAATCGAAGTTGTTTGCGTTGAGAACATTTACTAAGATTCAGTGGACATCCAGTGAACATGTGATGTTTGTAAAAATAGAGTAGACGTGAACTCTGTATCACTGTGAATCTTAGGAAATCTCCAACTTTGTGATGATTATCTCTTGACGATTCCGATGTGACCCACTCCCTGACGGCTTATATGCTGCTGGCTGAAATGAGAATCACACCTAGTTTCATTTGACAGTGTGATAATTCGGTGCGATCCCCAGATAATCATGAGTCGAGAGTAGGGGTCCGAAGGTGATTCACAGTGATGGAAATCAACTCAACTCGAAACATTTCCATTGTTGACTCAATACTGTTCATCGGTGTTCAACTGAGTTTATGTGGGAGAATGATGACTGGTTGTGGAAGATGATCTACTGACTGAGACTGTCCGACTGTGTTCTGTGAAGTGGTTGTGGGAAATGACAAGTGTGTGTTTTTTTCAACTGAATTGAGCGCGCATTTGACAGTGAATATTCTGTTTTCCCTATTCCTCAACTTGTCTTCATTGTCTTCAATTGTTTTTTTATTCAATTCAGTTGAGAATTCTATCCCATGCGGTGAGTTTTGTGATTCCTTGAACTCGTCTATCCATCCACATGTACAATCAAAACAACTCTGAGTTAAATCCACTGACACTATTATCACTATTATCGTCATCATCATCGTCGTCATCATCAGCTGACGCTTACGTCAGGAAGGAGATTGAAATTGAGCTTGAGTGCATTTGAAAACACGAGGACATACAAAATTACGTTTGGTGAAACAAGGAGAATAGAGGAAATCGCACAGATTTGATTGAGTGTGAATGCAACTAGTCGAGTGATTCAGCAAGACCAGATAACAAACAACTGTGATATGTGATATTTGTCATGATTTGTGTAGATCTTCGACTCGACGTGAAATATTGGGGAGTGTAAAGTGAATGGTATATTCCCATTCCAGAGTATATGGATGAAAGGAATTCGGTAGTGGGTGCCGAAAGAGGCGAGGAACAGAAGAGATTTCGTTGATGTATCTCATAAGTTGTTTATGGATTGAGGTGTTGAATTCGAATATAGAAAATAAAGACTCGTTTCTGTTTCGTATAGGGGAAATACACAATTTTATATGTCGTTTGTAAAGGGATCTAGAGAGTGTCCATTTGGGTGTGAAATATGAATTGAGAATGACGTCAATGTTGATGATGTGATGAATAATTTGTATTGTTAGAGTGCTTCTCATTTTACAGGAGCTTCGTCGAGTACTTCCACCACCTACATCGAAGTGTCCTCGATGCCGCTATGTAAGTGGTAATGCTATGCTCCGCTTTGCTGTTCTATGCTATGCAATGTTATGCTTTTTCTGTGCTATGCTGTGCTGAACTATGCAATGAATTCATGTGATGAGAGATTACGTTATCCTTGTATATCCAACTTTCAGTGAAATATCTAAGGTCATGCGAGGAGGAGATGAAAGCATGTGGGCAAACCTGGAGCGAGGTGAAAAAGTTGGCAGAAAACAGAAGGCAATGGAGGTGCGCAGCTGAAGCCCTATGTTCCTCCAGGAATTAAAGGATATAATAATATAATAATAATCTAAGGTCACAGCAGAAGAATCATAGGGGAAATGACATTTCACAATTACACACCCTTCAATGAATTTCATAAAATTCAGTCACATTTTAGTGAGAAATGTGCAGATATGTACACTCTCCGTTTTTAACATTTAACGTAGGTGACGTGAATTCCGCTCACTTTCACTTTCTATTCTTCCCCATTTCCAAACTCACAGGTGGCTTGATCTGAGAAGAAGAGGAGGAGGGATGTGAAGAAAATCGAATCTTGATTCGGTCAAGACATTACCTATCCCATTCTGTGAATGTTTTTCTTTCTCATTGTTCATATATTCACTTTAATATAAATTAAAACAATAAATCTTCGGTCATATTAACAACAGTCAACACTTTGTTTTTCGTGTCACCATATTCTCGGCGTGAAAAGCACAATCGTGTACGCCGATGATGAGTAGTATGCGAATATTCTCTTGGTTTTACATCACACTGATGTTCGCTGAAGTTTCATCTTCCGACTGATTAATTGAGTGTAGGCCTCCATCATGACGGTGTTGGAGCATGACTTTGGTCAGAATGAATTCAATGTGCGTTGGTTGATATTGGATGAAATCACCTAGCGGCTGACGCTGGCACACAAACGATTCGTGCTCAGTGATATTCATGAGGATGAGATGGGAAAATGAATCGCTGTCTCACCGTTGACGTGACTTGTGTTGAGGGAATCCGAGTGTCTTTGAATGGAGTGTTGAATCTTCCGATCACTCATATTTCCCTCAGTGTGATTAGTGAACAGTGTTTGTCACACTGTGATTGTCTCGCTTGAATTGACAACACTTACGGTTCCTATGTTTTACAGTGACCGGTGTGTTCAGAGCAAGAGTAGTCAGGAATGTGATGTAGGGTTGTAAGGCTGTGAGTGAATCGTTTAATGAGGAGAACTGTGTCACCATGATTTATAGACGCACCAAGTGATCTGAGTAATGGTAATCACTGCATTGTGCTGAAAAGACGAAACCTTTTTAGTTTACACTCATGCATCAGCAGTCTGAGAGACAAACTGGATCACTGTAACCGAAAGTGTGTAACTCCAAATAGACGAGCTGGAAGCTCACATGATGGGGCGTTGTGTGCATTAGCGTAAGACGGTGGCTGAGAGTGTGTGCGACCTCAGTGATTTTATTATCATGCTGATTATGAATTCGAATATTGGCTCAACTGGAGGATTACTGAAACTGACAGATATACGAAAATCTCCCTGATCAGATACTTCATTTCTCAGCTTCGGAAAGACAAACTGTCGTTTGGAAAATCAGAGCTGCACCTTACTGCCTGAACTCCCCATTCCAGCAGATATCGAGTGTGAAATGGCTGAATGCCAGTTTGCCTTTATCGTCATTGTTCATCATCAAATTACACAGGTTTCATAAAATTTTCCACTACCAACCTTCATGTATGTGTCACAACCACACACTGAGATACAGAGGACCCTTGTTGCACTGCATGTGTCTACCTCTTTGTGACTCGCTTCTGTCAGCTTGAAATACACCGTCGAGAATTTGGTCAGTGGAATGTGTGTCGATCGCAGAAGGCACAATTGTGATACCTTGTATTATCACTTTGTACGTAGTGGAGTAATTAGCCTTCATTTGTGTGGCATGCACCTTTTTCTTGCTTTCCGTTCCTCATCAATGCACACGTCAATGAGAAGTTAGTACTTCTGGAACATCCTTGAATATTCATCACTACAAACAGCACAAATCTGCAATCAATGCTGAGGCGATGTGGTTGCCGCGCACCAGTTAACATTCCAGCTAAATGCGTCTACTTTTATTGCTCAGTATTTGAGTCACATATTGCATATCATGTAAAGTCTATTCACAAGCAGTGAGAATGTTTGTTCACTTAAACATACACAGTAAAGAGAAGAGAATGGAAGTGTATGCACAAGTGGTTCTACACAAGTGCGATCAATTGTACTAGTGATTTCTGAGAGGAATGAGAGTTGAGATAAAGTTGTTTATCATTGAATGGAACAATTAAGTCGGAAGATTGTGACAATTAAACATCAGAGATTTGTACATTTTGGTATACAGAGGCAATGAGAATGACCTACATCTGTCTCGTAAGATGATTCCGACGAGGTCGACTAAAAAGCACTGGCTGGTTGGCATTATCATTAGATTCTAATGATGTTGAAATTAACAGAACATATTTGGAAATGATTCCATGCAGTTAGGCGAGACTCATTGGGAGTTGATTTACCCATTATCGATGAACTGAGTGGAAATCAGATGTTCGTCTTTGGAAATATTTTCTCAGTGGGTATTCAGTTAGTTTGATGAAAATCATGTGGGTCGTGATGGTGGGACATCTCAGGAGACACCAGTCTCCTGTATTACTGATGAACATATGGATATGTGAGGGAGAAATGACAGATTTTTAAATGTTTGAGATTGTGCTTAATATTTTCATCCAAATAAATGGATGGAAATTTTCTCTTGTCTGTTTTGGCGTATATTTAAGTTATTTTTGAGTTTTCAAACTGAATTTAGAATTCATACATTCATGCGGACCTCTACTTGCTTCAGTTGTTTTATTTCTAGCGATTCGTATCAAATGACCTGTTCGTTATATACGCTTTTGCGGATAAAATCTCCAGAAATATATAAATTATCTCCTTGCAATATCAGTCTGTCCTCTACTAATTTACGCAAACTAGGTGGCATCCTTTATGCTGAAAGTCAGCAGAACATGATATAGGGGATTCAATCATTTTTTCAAATCACTACACTGATGCGGCCATCAGAGGAAGACTGGCATATCTCCTGAACAATGTGTACTGGGAAACGATGCTTTTCCCAGTCCCCTCACTTTACACACAATAGTCTCATTCAATATGGGTGATCACATCAGCTTGTCAGCTAGACAAAGATTGAACACAGCAGTTAAAAGAAATTTTTTGGCAGCTAGCATCGTGAAATTGACGTCGACATATCTTTTAAACCTACCTATTGAAAGTAGTTGAGTCGTAACTCAAAGATTTCGGAAGCCTTGGCTGTCAATTATCAGGTTAGAAGCACATGCTTGCGTTCGAAAACGAATATTTTATCATCACAATAAACCTTCCTTGGTGATCAAGTCAATCTCCCTAATAGGTAAACGGATTGCAGCTGCGCAGCCAGATCTCAAGTCATTTCACATAATACCTACATAGCTACCATCGCATTATTCTGTGAAATATTCAACGAATAGTACTGCTCATCAACTCGTTTGCTCATGAGCATTACAGTTTGTAGCATTCATGCTTGATTGAATGTAGTGGCAAGCGTTTTAGCTCGGAAATAATAAAAATAGGTTTTCGCTATTCGTTGACTTCATTTCATTATAGCATTATCATTTGTTTAACTGTTGTGCTTTCTCAGTTGAACACTGGGCTTCAGGACTGTGTGGTAGTTAATTTGAAGTCGTGTCTTTCATGCCTGCATGTTTTGCCTTGGATATCATAGGTGATAATAGGCTGACTTGTTTTTCCCCTGTCTTCCCCTCAGAGCCTTTGGCGAATTTTCCCTTATGAATCGCTTGAAACCAAGCATCATCAGATAGTTGTTGAGTGTGCTTCAGATAAAGCTTCTAAAAATATTTTTGTGTTCGATAAGGCATTTAGAAGACATATTTCGCGAGATGATATCGCCATTTCGTAGTTTCTTTACAACCGCCTTACGCAACTAACATGGTTAACAATAATAAAATAGAGATCATGACAATTACTCAGTTAAATAAAAAACAAATGTACATACTAATGACCAATCATATTTAGATTGGTCAAGTAGTCGTCCATGGTAGGCAAAGATTGAAGTCTACTGTTTTTTGTACACACGTAGTTTAGGATGTGTGTGATTAATCCCCCAAAGTGCTTTTATCACCTTGAATAACCAACTTTGAATTAGAGTTATGTGATGAAATAATTGTGAAACAGTCATCAATAGTGATTTTGTAACCTGACACCCCAAGATAAGGCATACAAACAAATCGATGTTGTTGCGATGAGGATTCATCTTGGGTCCCTTTTAGCAGATATATTCATGTGGAAATTGAAAAAAAACAAATGCAAGGTATGCTTGGAGAATTTATGCTGTATAAACGTTATATAGATGATACTCTCATTATTGGTAATAATAATAAATCTATTGAAAACTTTATTACCCTATTTAATCATGTTCATCCAAATATCCGAGTGACTCCCGAACTCGAGTCGAATAACAAATTTGGTTTCATTGATATTACAATGATCAGGAGAGATGATTAAACGATTCAGCGATCTATTTTTTGTAAACAGACATGGAGTGGACAATATCTTCATTTACCAGTTTTGTTCCTATCCAGTATAAACATCCCCTTCCCTAGTGAAATGTTTGTTCTCAAGGGCCTGAAAAATATGCACGATTGACACATTGACGGATTAGTTTCGAGATATACATTCACTTTTATTAGTTAATAGCTATCCGGAAACGTTGTCACTTGTCTCAGTAAAAAAAGACCACATCTCGAAAAGACAGCTTCTGTACCAAAGAAAGCTATCTTTAATAACCTACCATTCAAGAGTGACCAGATTATGCAGTTGAAAGGTGGAAGATTTCGGTCAGTCATCGAACGCATATTCTACGCAGCATCTCTTTCCCTCACATCTCAAAAATTCTCGATCCCTGTACGTGCAATTAAAGGACGAAATTCTGTGGACTCTACTTCAAAATGTATCTACAAGTTCACCTGCAGCTGAGGTGACACCTATATAGGTAGAACCAACAGAATGTTCGAATGTCGTCGAAATAAACATGTTCCAAAATGGCTACTAAATCATATAGAAAATCCCATTGTGATTAATCTGAATAGAAATCCAGCATCGTCCATTGCAAAGCAATTATTAATGTCTGGTCACAAAATCAATATTAATGACTGTTTCACAGTTATTTCATCACATAACTCTAATTCAAAGTTGATTATTCAAGGTGATAAAAGCACTTTGGGGATTAATCACACACATCCTAAACTACGTGTGTACAAAAAACAGTAGACTTCAATCTTTGCCTACCATGGACGACTACTTGACCAATCTAAACATGATTGGTCATTAGTATGTACTTTTGTTTTTTATTTAACTGAGTAATTGTCATGATCTCTATTTTATTATTGTTAACCATGTTAGTTGCGTAAGGCGGTTGTAAAGAAACTACGAAATGGCGATATCATCTCGC